TGACAGCCGGGGAGAGCGAGGCTGCCTGTCAGATGGTGAATTTAAACAGAGGCAGCTGTTGTCATGGTGACACCAAGTTGCATCCTGTTGCTGTGGCAACCAAAGTTAAAAAACTGATGTTAAGGCAGGAGAATAATATGATGTGGTCTTTTTTTTTTTTTTTTAATAAAAAAGAGAAGGAGAGAGGTTTGATTTTCAGTTTTTAAGTGCAGAGTGAGGTGGGGGAGAAGTAGATGCTTCTCCATGGAGCTTTTTTGCACGTGGCAGGAGGGCATCCATATCCTTATGGAGCTGTGGCAGTGCTGCCCTGGCCAGCTCCTGGTGTCACTGCCTTTGGATTAGCCCCTGGTGGAGAACAGGCCACCACGTTTTGGGGTCAGAAGCAGCAAAATCTGTGCCTGTGGAGCCTCCACGCAGGGAGGTTCAGGCAGGCTGACCACAAGACAGGAGCACAGCCCCCTGCCCAATGCTCACTTTCCTAAGCCCCTTTTTCTGTGTGGAATGGGCACACAGGAGCTGGCTCCCATCCAAAGCATGGTGGGAGGATTGGGGGGTCTGTTGGCACCTTGTCCCTCTGGGTATCACTTTCTGTCCAACCTCAGCAGAGCATGGATGGGCTGGGAGCACTGGGTGGCAGGGACAGCCCTGAGTGGCTGTGGCTCTACTGCTGCTTGAGGGTACTAAATAGTCTTGTCTTTTGAGAAAGATCTCCTGTGTCCTCAGGGACCAGCCAGGCCTGGAGAATGCCAGAGTTGAGAGTTAGGGCCACTCGTGGTCTTTGCTCTGTTTGGCATTTTGAGTTTCTCTTGGGAAACAGCCTTGGAGAGGAGGTGCCTGCTTTCCTGCTGGGGTGTGGAGATGAAAGGAAGGGGGTTGAGGCATCCTGGGAATGGGGATGTTGAAGAGGTGGGTCTGTCTTTCCACAACACCATGTCTGCGTGGGGCAGGCAGCAGTGGTGGGGTCGGGATCAGCAGGATGAAGCACATGGATGTAGGAGCTGGGGACACCTGGGGAGCAGGGAAGTCACCTCAGTGCAGCAGATTCTGGGGGGAGCAGTGGGAAATGGAGACAAGTTTCTAGATGTTTGGGCTGGGCTGGGTGGTGCAGGCAGAACAAGGAGTTAAATAATTTCTGCTCTTCTTGCTGGCTCTCTGGGATATCTCGCTGGCTTCCTCAAGAGCCCTTCTGGAGATGCCCATGTGGCCTCACTCCTTGGGCTGTTCTGCTCCTTCCCCAGCTGCCTGCCCAAGAACAGAGAGCAGGCAAGGTCCCCAAAGTGGAGAGATGGAGTGGGGCTCTCTAAAGCTCCTGACCCTTGCCCACATCTGGGGAGGGGTTTATCTCACACCCAGCCTCTCGAGGAGATTGCATCAGTGTGGCATCAGCACCTTAACTCCATCTTCAGAGCTTGGAGCTGGGCACACGCCCTGTGTTAGCAATGTAGGTGTTCTGGGTGGGCTGTTTTTGGCATCCACCTGGGGAGGAAGGTGAAGAGGGTGGTCACAGCTGGAAAACAGGGATCCACCAGTAGCTGAACATCTTGCTAGACCCACCTAGGAGCTCCAGCTCCAGGCATGAGGTTAATCTGCAGCACTTGCTCCACCTGGGCTGGGCCTCTGGGGGGGTCCACATGGTCTGGTAGCACCTTCCTCAAATGGCCCAGGAGGGCAAGGTGGAGCTGCAGGTGTGGTTGGCACTGGGATCGGCCGGGTTGCTACGGAAACAAGTCAACGGTGCAGGGGAGAGCGTTGGGTAAAGGAGATAAATCAATAAGAAAACCTATTTTTATCGGCTCCCTAATGATCCTCCAGGAGAAGGCAGACGAAGGGAGGAGGAGGAGAAGGCTGGAGAGAGATGGGCTTTCATTACCAGGCTTGGAGGGAGGCGAGTGCTCCTCTGCCTTTTGGGTGGCTGGAAGGTTGTGTCATTAGACACCTAATCAGCCAGGAAGCAAAGGAGCAGGAGAGTTGTTGTCTGGTGGGTTCCAGCCCTGAGCTGGGAGGACACTGGCTTGGCAGAAGTGAAGCTTGGTGATAAAACTTCCCCTGGTTCAGCCAGAAGTTCCTGGTTTCCCTTGGGGGAGGGTTTGCTTACCCTTAGCCTCCCAGAACCTGGCACAGCTGGAGCTACAGGGCCCCATTTCCCACGGGGGTTGATGCTTTGCAGCTCTTGCCCTGCTCCAGGTGCCACGAAACAGACTTTGCTCCTTGGGAAATGGGGCTGGGGGGGCTTGGAAAAGTCACTTTTGGCAGTGACCTCGTGCTGAGGGCACTGCTGAGGGCACTGATTGCCCGGTTTTCCTGAAACTTGGCTGCCATGCACCTGCCAGAGGTGGAGCAGGGATGCAGTCCTGTGTGGGGCTGTGCCAGATGTGCACTGTCAGCCAAGCCAGATGTTGGAGCCAGCAGGGGAAATACAACAAGCTGAGCCGTTGGAGGTGGCCCCCAGCTCCCCCTGAGCAGGGTGCCCATGCCCGTTGGCTCTGGGAAAAAATGGGATTTTCCCTGCTGGCTGTTTCCCCCATGGGATCAGCAGGAGGGAGGAAGGAAGGAGGCAGTGCTGGGGGCCCGGCATGGGGGGGGAGGAGGGCGGGATGCTGGGCTGGGTTAGACCCGCTGGGACAGCCAGACGGACCCGTCT